GACGTCTCTCAATCTACGCTTTAGTTACAGCAACCAGACAGGTCATAACTCATTTGATTTATTTCTTAAGAAATTAACACTTTCCTATTGCAAGGACACATTAAATGATCTAAAGTGACAGTAGAGACATTCCAATGTTACAAAAGATTTCTGTTGCTACTGTATTTTGCAACTTTCTATTCATCAAAATAGAAAATTGCACGAAATTGTCTGCCTCGTGAAAAAAATGTCCTTAATATTTGCATCATTTATGATTTATTTTATCCACCTGCAAATAATCAGAATGCATTTTAAAGCGGGAGAAACAGAGGTTTCCCCAGTAACAGCAGTGCTGAGCTCACAAACTCTGCTTTATCAGGCATATAACATGCAAGATGAAATGAAAATGACATTGAACATTTTCTAAAGATAGTCTTCCTTCAGATATACAGTGATATAAAAACACCCGCGCCTCGTTTTGATTTGTAAACGTGCAGTACGTGCTCATGTTTATTCAACGAAGCCTTTTGGAAAATCGGTCAGTTTTGATATTGTGGTGAGCGCCACAAATAAATAAATGTATGGGAAACACATCCCACAGCACAACCACCTGAGCCCAACTTCAGTCTACTCATCACTTTAACTTTAACTTTAGCTTGAAGCATCAGAATCGGCATCAGAATCGGCATCGGTATCGGCCGATCACCATGATAAGAAATCGGCACTCAGTATCGGCTGCAAAAATCCTGATCGGAGCATCCCTATTTCACATTATTACTGTTTGTACTGTATTTTGTGCTTTGATATTTTGTTATCTATTGTGACTATCAGACATTTTAGGCATTGATTACACTGTACTGTATATGCAATACTGAGTGTTTCAAAAAGCTTGTAAATAATGTGCAAAAGATTTTTCATGTCAAAAAATATTTAGTTGTGGTTATAAAGTGTGCAACTTTTGGGGCCACCTGCGCTATTTGTATGACACACAGAGTTGCTGCCACATGTGTGAGGTTCTGTTTGAGTAAGGATGCTGTTTTAGAAGGGATGCGTGTAGGCAGTGGACACTAGAAAATTATTTTTTTTGCATAAACACCAATATTTTCGTGGAAAGAACATATTAGTGACTGATTTACTGCGTGCAGCTGTGAATGCTGTTGCTCACCCACACGTGTTCTATCGAGTCATCTTTTCCACGACATTCTAATTTATTGAGATGCACCTGTACACTGCATGTCCGGTGCAGCAATCAGTTAGTAGTAAAGCAATATTTTATTCTTACATACACTCTTAAAAATAATGCTTCTTTATTGGCATTGATGACTCCCGAAGAGCGTTTAACATCCATGGATCCTTTCCATCGCACAAAATGTTCTTTATAGTGGAAACAGGTTCTTCAGATTACTTAAATATTCTTCACGCTAAAAAAAAATGCTTCTTTTAAGCACTGTTTACTGAAAGGTTTTGAGGAAACATAGCCAGAAGCATGTCATTTTTTGATGCACCTTTAAAATAGTTTATATTTAGCTGCATGATGTGTTAATGATTTAAAAACATTTTGTTCCCCTCACAGCTGGACATGAGTGGAACCAATTCTGTCCTTTACTTTGGACTCTTTGAAGGACGCAATCCAGATCCAAAGACTAATCCGGGGTACATTATTATGTACTCCTTTCTAGTGATTTATAAATGATTTCACAGACAAAAAATTCAGCAGAATTTAATTCTCACTTTTTTGGCAGTATTTTCCTACATTCAGAATCATTTGTTTTTATTTGGTGATTTTATTTTCATTTTAGTATTCCCTAATGCTGCTTATTTTTGAAAGGTATTTTCTGTTTATAAACGCTTTCTGACATGATTAAGTTTATCATAATTTTTAAAGCAGTTGACACCTGAGATTAGACAGTCACATAATCACACATACAGTAAATTGACAGATCTTTTTAAAATAAATTGTGTCTTGAGAGATACACATCTGTCTCACTTAAATCATTTATTTGCATTACAGCAACCGTGTGTGAAAACCTTGTGAAGACTTACAGAAAATGTTTGACCTCTGTCATTGCCAACAAAGGGTATATTATAACAAAGTATTGAGATGAAATTTTGTTATTGACCAAATACTTATTTTCGACCATAATTTGCAAATAAATTCTTTAAAAATCCTACAATGTGATTTTCTGGATTTTTTTTCTCATTTTGTCTCTCATAGTTGAGGTATACCTATGATGAAAATTACAGGCCTCTCTCATCTTTTTAAGTGGGAGAACTTGCACAATTGGTGGCTGACTAAATACTTTTTTTCCCCACTGTATGTGTACTAAATCACTGACTCAAACCTAGTAAGCTGCATATTTAGGCAGCATTTTAAGGCATCATAGGTGCTCTTAATGCAAAGTCTGGTCCAAAAGGTAGGAATTATGATGTTTTCTAAGAAACTGCTTTCTTTTCACTCTCATTTGTGAAGAAAGAAATCCCATAATGCCATCCAAAGATCTCAGTAAAAATACTGAGAAGTATCTTGAAATCTAAATCCATTTGAGTTATGATGTTGGCTTCGAAGGCAGCTGTCTATGTAGGTAGCTTACTAGATTTAGGAATGTTGTTTCACATAGTGCTCTTTAGTAAAAACTGTCATCAGTCATTCTTCTAAAGTCTTGCTTCTCTGAAGTTTTTTTTTTCTTCTGTGTGACAATTATGTGCAATTACACAAATCTCATGTAGCTTCTTCACTTCAAATGAAAGGATCTTCATTCTTGAGTGCTTTTCACTTTCAAGGAGCCCTGATTTTGAGGACCGACCCTTTGTGACACATTCCCTGAGTCACACAGAGATCATTCTTACCCAGCTACAGTAGTTTCCACACTTGACTTCTTGTCCAATTTTAGGTGATCTTCTATAAAACCAAGCATTATAACAGGTACTGCGTTCTGTAATTGAAATGCACTTCCTAGGATGGCTGCACACAATAGAGCAGAACAGAAAATCCTTGTTTTTGACAAAAATTTGATTCTGTAAAATTTGAGAAACAAAAACATTGGGAATGATCATATTCTTGTTTTGAAGTAAATAGAGCTTTTTGAATTGAATAACTCATGCATGAAGGTTAAGGTTCATGGAACCGCTATCAAGACAATTGAGGCCTGTGATGTCAGTTACAGCAAATAAAAGTTGTATGTGGCGACTTCCAATAAAAAAGGTGAGCAGAGAGCAGTCGCTTTCTTTGATTCAAAATTTAAGACGTCATTTTAATTGCTGAAAAATGAACAAAGATGTGACCTGAACTGCACCCATATGGTAAGTCATATTTTTCTGTAACGGAATAATATATTTGTGTTTTTTTTTATTTCCAGTTATTTATGCTTATATTGCAAATATTATATATTTTTTTCAGGTGTCTCAGCACATATTTCTATTTTGTGGGATATTCCTTGGATTTGTCTTTGTTCAGCAACTCATGAGTGTTAGATTTGGCCTATCCACATTACCTTTACTCTCAAGCCAAGAGACATGCATGGAAAAAGAATGGTATGTTCTTTATTACTTATCTCTTTTAATTGTCATATTTGAAAAATGTTTGGACAACCTATCTTAGATTTTTATTATTACAGTTATTTTTCCTATGTGCTGATAGATTTAAAAACAGAATAAAAAAAATAGAATTCAGTTTTCAATATTGTAAAGAAATTAATTTCTGTGCATGGTTTACATTTTTAATATGTGACCCTGGACCACAAAAGCAGTCATCAAAGCTGAATAAATAAGCTTTCCATTGATGTATGTTATGATAGGACAATATTTGGCCGAGATACAACTATTTGAAAATCTGGAATCTGAGGGTGCAAAAAAATCTAAATATTGAGAAAATGGCCTTTAAAGTTGTCCAAATTAAGTTCTTAGAAATGCATATCACTAATCAAAAATACATTTTGATATATTTATGGTAGGAAATTTACAAAATATCTTCATGGAACATGATCTTTACTTAATATCCCAATGATTTTTGGCATAAAAGAAAAATCGATAATTTTGACCCATACAATGTATTTTTGGCTATTGCTACAAATATACACCAGCGACTTAAGACTGGTTTTGTGCTCCAGGGTCATATAAAATAATAAATAAAAAAACATACAGTACTGTTCAAAAGTTTGGGGTCAGTAAAATGTTTTAATGTTTTTGAAAGAAAACATCTGTTCACGCTGTTTATTTCATCAAAATACAGTAAAAACAGTAATATTATAAAAGATTATTACACTGTTTTCTATTTAAATATATATTAAAATTAAATGTATTTGTGATGCAACAATGTGATGCATTACTTCAGTCTTCAGTGTCACATGGTTCTTCAAAAATCATTCTAATATGACGATTTGCAAAAAAAAAAAATATATATATATATATATATATATATAATTATCAGTGCTATTTATTTGAAATAGATATCTTATGTAACAAGTCTTTCCTGTGGCTTTTGATCAATTGAATGCATTTTTGCTGAATAAAAGTATTCATTTTCTTTAAAAAAAGAAAGAAAAATCTGCCTGACCTCAAACGCTTTGAATGGTAGAGTACGTTCAACAAAGTGAAAGCCCAAACTTTTGACTGCTAGTGCATGTTTTGCTTTATTGTCCTAGATGAGCTGGCACAGTCCCTGTTTTCCTGTGTTGGATCATGACGAGGCCTCAAAATCTTTTGAAAAAGCTCCAGCATGTTGGTGCCACCTGGGCTAAACACTGGAACCAGGTTCTGTACATGAGCTCGCAGAGCTCCGACTTCCCCACCGTGGGGCTGAACGTCATGAGGGCCGAACGCAGCAGTACTGGAAGACCATCCTTTCAGTCCATGCCCACCACCTCCAGCACGCCAACTAGTTCCTCAAAGCTGACGACGACACATTTGTTGTGGAAAACCTGAGGTACCTGCTCTCCCAGCACGACACAGAGAAGCCTGTTTATTTCGGCCACAGGTTCCGGCCGTTCGTTTGTCAGGGTAACATGAGCGGAGGAGCCGGATACGTTCTGAGCCCAGAGGGCCTCAGGAGATTTGTGCAAGGTTTCAGAACGGGACGCTGCGAGCATTTCAGCTCTGTGAAGGACATGGCCTTGGGCAGGTGCATGGAGACCATGGGAGTGAAGGCCGGGGATTCAAGAGATCCGAATCAACAGGAAACATTTAATCCCTTTAGACCGGAAAATCACCTCATTCCCCCGGAGAATGGAAAACAGGTCTGGGGCTACAGTTTCTACAAACCCAGACGTGTGAGTGCCAGTTTCTCATTGAAAATATGTGTGGGTCAGTTAACCCTAAGCTCTGCCCTTGGTTACTGTTGCTAAGACATTCAATAGGAATGAACTGGAGATTTACATGAAGTTCACTTGAACAGGAATGAACTGGAGATTAACATGATTTACGTGCATTTTGAGTTAAATTTGAAAAAAAAAAGATATTATTATAAGTATTATTATTGTTACATAGGCTGTGTGAAATTGCTCAATTTTATCCTCCGTTTCTATTTAAATAAATGTAATTATGCAATATTGTGATTAAAACCTGCTGATACTGTGAATCAGAAACATTATTATAGTTATTATATAATATACAGTTATTATATTAACTAAAACTAAATTCAACTGCAATATTAAAAAAAAATTCAGATGGTTGACAAATGGAATATTTCTTATTTTTATTTAGTTTAACTTGAAATATATTTAGTTTA